CACCCTGATACCTGTTAAATTAATTATATTGTATACGTTTCTAATATGTAATGCTATATGGACATTTTGAACTCCTTGCTTTTTCAGACTTGTAAGTTAACCAACAATAGTTCAATTAGAGAACAGAAATCTGGTTTCCGTCCCGATCATAGTACAACTACTGCATTTTTCAAGATTGTAGATGATATACGCGAGTGTATGGAAAAATCATCAATTCACTATGTGAGACTTTAGTAATGCGTTCAATGCTGTGGATTTTGACATATTACTAACAGTATAATGTATCTCTACCATTTATTGATTAGTTTCATAGTTATCTGTATGGGCGACAGTAGCGCATATGTGTGGGAAACCGCTTCTTACATTGGTGCGACACAACGTCCGGAGTTCCGCAGGGTGGTGTTTTTTCTCCTCTCCTATTTTCACTATCTTCATTAATTCAATTTCCCTTCCTCTCTTTTCTTTCTAACACACGTATGAAGACGATTTCCAACACTCCTATATGGACTATCAAAAGTAATTGCCACCACTAGCGTAGATCTTGGGCATATTTTTGATTGGAGTCGATGACATGATCTGAAGTTAACTCACGAAAACCTAAGGCAATAGCGCAATATCTTAAAAAATGATGAGTTTTTCATTCTCCTAATATGTTTCGAGATTTGATGTATTCAAATCTTGAAACATATTAGGAGAATGATGTATTCGTTTGAATGATATATTCTTCTTCTTAAAGTGCCTTAAAGGTTGGCTTTTTAAAACTGTTCCTAGTCCCCGCGAGTCGGAACAGCTCGGCTGCGCTAGCTATTTCCGTCCACTCACTGATATTTCGGAGCCATGATTTCTTCCTCCTTCCAACACTTTTCTTCCCGATAATTTTGCCCATTAATACTTTTTAATATTTTCTTTAACAATCCAAGCACAATAGAGCAAAGGTGTACGTTATGAAATGTTAATGCTACGACTACAAAATGCTCATCGTATTGAAAGCACTACGAGCAATTTCGATTCTGGTCATTCATTCTATCAACTATTTATTGTAGTTTAGCCGCTGTAGCGTGCTATTAAAACTGTATAACGAAGATTGTTTATATTACGTCCATTGATCTTCACATCACAGTCCATACAGTGGAGAGCTTTGGTTATTATTGCTTTTGAATATAAATTGAAGAGCATAGGAAAAAAATCGATCGTGTAAGACTCGGTCGAAGGCTTTTTCATAATCAATGAAACAAAGGTATACACCGTGACTCACGTCTCTGCATTTTTGAAATGCTACGATAAAAATTTTTGGGTCAAAACCTGTACTGCAAATAGGGCTTCTCTTGTTCCCACACCAGACCGGAAATCAAACTGACAATCTCTGAGATGTTCATCACATTTTTACCTTATGCGTTCACGTAATATTAAGAGGAGTAGCACTTGAGTCATCGAGCTAATCGTTCGAAATTCCTCACATTTCTTTGCATTTGGTTTCTTTGAGAGCGTCACAAAGACGGATCTCAACCAGTCATCAGAAAGGACATCGCCGAGAATGGCCCCAATACTATTTAATATTAATACTTCAATAATTATTACTGATTTATTTATTAAATTTGAATCAAATATTTATTTGACACGGACAAGCTGTGATCCAAAATTAATATTTAAAAATACTTTAACAGTAACATTTTTATTCGCAAATATTCACATTAAATATATTTAAATTCTATTGAGTCAGATGGATGTAATTTATACGTCAGATCAAGAAGATCATTTATTTTTATTAGATAACCTTTAAATCATTGAACAATTTAATGTTTTAATTAAATTGACCGAAAATTACTAAAAGCGCCATCTCTTGGTGATTTTCAACTAAAACATAAGGACATAAAAACTGAATATTATACAAACTAAATTCATTAACTGTTGATAATTCACTCTTGTTTATTCAGAAAGACTGATATTCATACGACATATCCTAAAACTACTTTGTTTCTATTACATTACCTTTATATTTCTCGTAAACATATTAACATCATGTCATTTATGTATTTAAGACGCCATCTTTTGATGTAAACCATCAAAAAGCTATAGGTTTTTTAATTTTAAGCTTATCAATAGGTATATTATTTAACTATTAGAATGATTTATTTGTCTATTGATTGACTTAGAAACTTTTACAAATCACAACGAAAAACCGACTTTCTTAAAGTTGAGTTTTTTTGCATCGACAATATAGACATCAATATCATATCATGTACTTAGAGTGCCATCTCTTGGTCGTTTTCCAAACAAATTATAACCTCAAAATGAATTATATTTTGCGTGATAATAAGTTCTAAAACTCGGTCGCGGTATAATAAATACATAATAAGAATTAGTTAGTGACACACAATAATTTAAGTATTTACCTATATTTCTTTGGCTCTGGGACCACCAATGTATGGACGTTGAGCAATGTCCTTTGACCTGTGTCATACACTAGGTTTACGAGTTTCACTAAGCCATCTTTATTAACTTCTTCCATTAGTTTGAGCACCTCTATGGTAACATTGACCGACCCCACAGCTTTTTCCGTCTTTGTTTTGTGCAATTTTTCACTTTATCTTTAAGTATAAAAGGTCCACTAACGGCATTAAGCTTGATGTTTAAGCTTCTATACTCCTCTGTAAACATATCTGTGAAGTCCTACTATATTCGTTTCTTTCAGTAATTTCTACGACAAAAAATTTCGAACTTCCTGACTAAACTAGTGTTTGTATTATTTTTCCAAATATTTATTTTTTCTATTTGTCTTTTAACCTAACTCGTGCAACTCAAAAAATTTTGCGAGGCTATAACTCACATTTGTTGCTACTTTTTGATCTCCAATAAATGAGATATTAGGTAAATATTACAATTCCAGGACAGGAAGTCCATTTTATACTTCATTATTTTTTAAATTTCGTTTTTCTTTAGAGTCTATTGATCAAAGTTTGAACTCGTCTATTATAAAAAAGTGTATCTATGTAAATATAGCTGACTTAAAAACTAGTCACTAATGTAGTTTTTAAAAGTATAACTGAGAAATCCGTAACTTATTTAGAAAAACACATTGCACATTGCTGTTGTATAATTTATTACTATTTCATTGAAAGTGTTGTATAATATCAGTCCCTAGTTTTAAAGACAAACGAATACGTCACACCTTGGTATATAGACGATAAAGGATAGAAAAGGACGACTAATTAAAGAATCTATACCTTTTTTACAAATCTCATGAGGCGAAGGTTTGTACGATGGATCCCAATCGATGGCGGAAACACATTCATGCTCGTAAAACTACCATCGAGCACGATCACCAGTCATGGATGCGAGAAGAAATAAATCCATGACCAACTGATATTATTAACTTCCATCACACGCCCTCTTAAGAAATAATGAATATCATATTAATTAAGTAAAGTCAAGGGATCACAATGTTATTGTATATTTACAATGTTGCTCATTAATGTAGTTTGATTGTTATTTGAAATACAATGGATGCACTAGATTTCCTTTTGAAACTTCACCTCATTATCGTATTAAGTAATGCTTCTAACATTTTATGACGTGTTATTATAAAATGTATTAGGTAGGTACCTAACTCTTTATAAGGCACTCAACAGAGCGCTTAACCACGCCACTATCTAGTCTTTCTTTCTCGCCATCTTAACGACGACGATATTTCGTTTCATGTTACTACTTTTACATGTCGTTGGGTAGAAACATTTGGGATAAATAACTAAGTTGGTCTACTGCTATCAAATCCTTAGTTATTATTCTTTATCGTTCATTCATATAACACATTAAAGTAGTAAAATGAAAAAATATCGGTAAGATGATGTATCCTATAACTGGAATCATGGCTTGAGAGTTCTGATCGAATGTCCAATTACTCTATTAGAAAACTTGTTTATTTTGCCGAATAATTTTAGGCCATTTTCTGAAGTCCAAGAAAGCAACAGGAAAATTCTAAAACTTGATACTTTCCCCCTCATCATATGACATTGCAGCAATATTTTGTTATAGAGTAATGAAAATTTAATGAAATAGGGGCTCATTGTTATAAATGTAGGTTTTTAGTAAATAATCTTCCGCCATTCAAATAAGGAATGGAAGTTTGTACATATTTTCCCATAAAAAAATTAATTTAAATGTAGAGATCTGGTAATTATACACTTATTTTTACGAAAAAAATATACAAGCCACAGGTTTTTAAAAAAAGTCATCCCTCCATCCCTGAAATAAGAGGATAAAAGTGAAATAAGGCTATCGTCAATTTTCTCTTTATTTTGGCACAAACATTCATTGTATATTTTAATATTGAAATGTGATAAAAAGTATTTAAAGAAAAAATAAAACTTATAATGCGAATGGGTAATTACAACGGCGTGTCCCGAATGTAGTAAAATAAAAATGAGAGGAGGCTATGAAAAAAGGACCTTTGATGTGCAAGATGTAGACAAGTGAAATCCCACCAAAAACAATTTCATGTAAAATGTTACCAAAACGACACCATATGGTTCGCAGCGTCAAAAAGCTTTGTGATCTTTTACAACCAAGCTCTACATGTCCTAATGTATAGTTATATAACTTTATACCTTAATCAGTACACGTGGCTTGGTTTACAAGAACTATTATTGTACCTTATAATAGGGCCGTATAATAGGGGTTATAAAATAATATAAACCACGCAGGCGGTAAAACAGTGAGTCTGATGACAGAAGTTTTCATATATTTTTGGGAAGAAAAAAAATTTTTAAAAAAAAAGAACAATTTCATCAAATCACATGTATGCAAAATTACAAACTAAAATTTGTATAAATTAAATACACCATTTACAATATATTTGATATATTGTACTAAGTATGTCTGTATTTACACATCTACTCAACACATTTACCTGCGTTTAAACAAAATCAAAGGTTAATTATTATTACCCGTCCATAAAAACCATACACTATAAGCGATGGCATTCTATTCGATATTTTAAGTTTAGTTTCATTTGCGTCACCGCAGCGCGTAAACGCGTCCGTGGATTTAAAAAAAAGTTATATACAGCCTATTTTTTCTGCACCAAAAGGTGAGCATTAAAAACTTTTTAGTTTTATAAAAACTTATGATAAAAAAATATTCCTTTCTTTACTTGAGTGCTTGATATCTATGGTCAAGATTGGAATTTGTTGTGGTTACAAAAAGTAATTACCACGAACAAGTGAATTTTCATTATATGTTCAATACGTCTTGGGTAAGTATAATATAATGATCCGTCGTTATAAGGCTTGCGAGATTTCTATAAAATCATCTCAACATTGCAGGTTGTCCTTTTCTAGATGATTCTTAGGGTAAATGATAAATGAAGGGACAATAAAAGTAACAGTGTTGAAGATACTCGTCTTTTCAATTAATTTTATTTTATAAAAACTTGTCATAGAGTTTTATGACTCTTTAAATAATCTTTTTTCAATAACAAAAATAATATTAAATGTCAATAAGGATTTTTTATTAATTTTATTAATTGTTTATGACAATAATTTTGATTTTCTTTGCAGTAAATTCTGGATACTTTAATGACACTTGTCAAACTAACAAAAAAGTTGAAGTAGGTATGTTAAAGTGTCAAAAAAAGTATTCTATTAGTTTTTGTTTTTAATAAAAAGTTGTTCATACTAATATCTTCAATAGATTTTATTGAAATCGTTTGAATTTGATAGAAATTAAGTAACGAAGTGAATTAATTAATCTGATTACAATTTACATAAAAGATGTGATATACGAACCTGTTATTAACATCGATTCCTTTGAAGAACAGCCTGAGGTAAAATTGCATAAAAATATATTATGCCTTGTTACTTACATAATAAACTTTACCATAACTACTTAAATGGCATATTCAATAAAACAATGACGTAAGCAAAAAGTTTTTAATGTTGATGATGACCTTCTTATACTACTTGAGTTTATTATAAAATTATGTCGGTGAAATTATAAAAAAATCTGTAAATTACAGTGTTGTCAATTAGCAGCTTACAAAATAAAGAGCCGTCAATAAAAATTGGTAAAATTATTTATATTAGTTACCCTTATGTTTTTATCACACAAAAAACACAGATCATGATGTTGACCTCTTCATTACAAATATATTATGGGAAATAAAAAAAACCGGAGTGCTTTGGAATACTTTTTTAATAAAAATGATTTTGGCCAATTTTATTTTTGTGGCTTATTAGTTTATAAGCAGCAATTTTCATACAGAAACTTGTGATCAATACGCAAATTTTATTAAGTATTTTAAATCATATTTCCGTTTTTTATCTCTTTTTAACTTACATTGGAGATAAAGAAAAAAGATTGCTACTTATATTATACCAATGACGAAAATCGAAAGAAAAATAACGAAATAAAAAGGATGGGGTTCCTTAAGGATTTTATTGTAAATTGTTGCACCATAAGAAAAATTATTAAATTTAATCTTCGAAAAGGTGTGATTTTTTTTTCAATAAAATCATCAATTGCATAAAGAACAAACAAGTATTGAAATCAGATGTAAAATATCAATGAAATTTAAAAAGAATATTATTTAATGTTATTTTGCAACATTACCTTTATAATGCTATAATTTACAATAAAACTCTGTGCTGTGTGTGCCTATAGTAATAACTTTTTGGTTTATTTTCGAATCTCATTACGAACTAAAGGTAATCATATTACACAATAAGAGGACTAGTGGAACTGAGTACGTACTTGCTTAACCAGTTTTCGTAAGTGATTATGGAAAATGATCACAGACCGCTAAAGAAAAAATAAACCCAAGTATTCTTCGTAAAGATTGCGCATATATTTTTCTTTTTAATTTGACAAAGATATAGACTTGCGTTGCGTTATTGAAGGTTAAGCCATTGAGCAGAGTGTCGGCTCAATGAAACTTGGCGTCCTAGAAAAAGACACTAGAGCGACGCCCATAAAAAAAATTACAACAAAATAAAATTCTAATGTAGAGTGAATTTTCACAATGACAAAAGAAACTCCTAATGTACTGCGATTTGGTAAAAATCCAAACCCGAATTAAAATTCACCGTGGTGTCTGAATTCAATTTGTGAACAAATTCTATTGATTCCATTTTTTGTATAAAAATACAAAATAAAATAGATTGGTTATACGTGTCTCAGATATTCTATTCCTGTGTCATTTTGAAACTCACTTCACTTATGCCATTAAACGTTGTTACCAATACAAGATTGAGCGGATACCACTTTTTGAAGTGAGTTTGGACACCTATGTGAATTCGAATTCGGGATTGGATTTTATAGAATCGTAGGGCAGGTCGGAAAAAAGTCATGTTTAAAGAATAAAGTAGCTTAGCCTATTTAAAAAAAGAGGTTCTCAGTTTGAACAATATGTTTGTATGTTTGTGCGCGATTATCCCGCGATTGGCTAAACCGATTCAGATAGTATTTGTCGTACTTAGTAGAAGTTTTAGGTATATTAACCAACTAAAAAAATGGAGGTTCGTACTTTAACACGTGTTGCATATATTGTCCGCGATTATCTCGGTTTGACTCAACCGATTTTGATGCGGGTTCAGAAAAGTATTTTTAATGTTACCAATTATATAACAAAATATAAATATCACTAAAATTATAAAATAAAAACTTGAAAATATAGAATTTTTAAGGTTTAAATAATCAAAGCATACATAATGTGTTTGCCCTAATTATATAGTAATATCACAGTCAGCTTAGCCCCAGTGGAAGGGACATTAAAGCTGGTTATATGGGATTTTAATATCCTCACACTACTACTTTCTACGTGGAAAATTAAATTGAACTGAATCGGAAAGGGGTATGACTGGATCAACGGCTCAACGTTCCTTCCGAAGATGGAACTCGAGATTGTAAATTTTTGGTCAGCCATCATATGACCGGCCCTCGCGAACTTGCGAATCCTATCCCATTAACTGAGCTATCATTTTGCAATTATGTTGGAAACTTTTTGGAAGAAATAAGAAAACGATAAACTATTCTGTGCAAGTTCCTAATACGAGTATCTTGTGAATTGAACGTTGATTAAAATTTAAGTAATGGATCCCTCAGACGATCAAGTTGACGTGACATGTTATACGTTATTGATGGTTTTACGTGATGGGTGACTTGACGCCCATTGAAGTTGCTGTCAAGTGCGTGCGTCAAACCCGACATTTTTGAAAAATAAAACTTAGGTACATTATTTCTACATCAGTAGATACCGATTGTGTAGGTCTTAAGCAGTTAATGTTACTAAAAACATGACTTCTAAAATGAACTATCAAAGGTAGAGACAATTTTACGCACATAAATAGGTTGAGTGCTGGGGGCCAATTCTACTAAATAAATTTTGTTTAAATCGAATCGAAAACGGATCGAAAACAGCTAAAATAGAACTTATTTTTTCAAAAAATACTTCCAATAAGGAAGTATTTTAAGAATAAAATATTTCCTTATTGGAAGTATTTTAAGAAAAAATAAGAAGCACTTAAAGCAACACCACTAAATGGCGACTCTAGCAAAAGTAATTTTTTGCAGGAAACCTTCCTTTTAATTTACATTTATAAAAACTGAAATTTGCAAAGTTCGAAACTTAGATATAATACGAAAAAGTACAAATAGAATATGAGTTGTTTATTGAGTTTTGAAAATTAGTTTACTTATTTTGTTTGTTCTTATTTCAAACTGTCATACTTTTCAACGTATTTCCAGTTTCTTCTTGACGAGCAAGACTTCAACTTTTACGCAATAAGTATCACAATTATCTAGGCTGCTAAACCAACTTGATGAGTCCAACGCTCATCTATACCTGCGCTTGTTTCCTGGTTATCGTGCGCAATTTCGGTGTTGAATAAAAAAAGCTTGTCCAGTAGGTACTATTGAAGTTCTTCTATGCAACTTGTTGACAAATAAACACACTGGTTGACAATTAATATTGAAATTCAATAAGCTATTATGTTGGATTTTGCTTCCGACATTATTACGGTACGTTCGTCGTTGCGTAATAACAGCGGTCGATGACCTCGACAACTCAATTTCAGATAACTTTTTTTTATTAAAAAAAATAAGTTAAAGGTAAAGAGTAGCTGTACATTCAGGTACGTTCTACATGACTCTTTTACCTTTTTATATCCAGTGGCCTTATCGCTAATAAGCGATTTCTTCCAGGCAACCGTTAGAGATCGGGTATCTTGGGTAACTTTAATTTAGCTAGATTATGGTGACATAAGATGTACTCAGTACTCACATCCGACGAAATCATATCCTTCATATATACTATTAGTAAATTATACAGCTATAGTTAAAGAAAATAGCATAAAATTTTGGCCACCCATCCGTTAACCGGCCTTTAAAAGTTGTTAAACATCCACAATGGTGAACAAAGCGCACAATCGAGTTCATTTGAACTTCACAACTTTTGGTTGACAAGAACACAAGGGGTGTAAACAAACTCAGTGAAAGTTTCTAGCTTTCACGCTCATTAACCAAATGCTCTAACCGCGACACCAGTACAGCTAGGGTTGTCAATTGCATTTCATTATGAAAAATATTTATAGATATTTCTTTCTATACCAATATTATAAAGAGGTTTAGATTCTAACTTTGTTTGTTTGCAGGGGGATTATATTCTAAAAAATATTGATCCGATCGAGAAAATTCTTTCACCTATGCTACATTATACGCAGCTGACATTGGCTATAGTTTACGCGGGTAAAGTTGCGGGAAAACAGCTAGTATTTTATTTTATTTATTTTGGTATCAAACAGTCATTTACTTAACAAATGGTGTATAATAGTACCCAAAATTAACATTTTTTGAATTGAATAAACATGAGAATGAGTTCATGATAAGACACGCATGTATATAAAACATAAACATTCGTCAAAATAATGATTTTGTATATTTATATACATTGTAAATCTTTAAATTTTGTCTTCAATACATGAATTGACTAATTAAAGAGATCAAGTTCGGACAATTCTCTGTTATAAATGTTGAAGGAACGATAAAAGTAAATTTCATGTATAATTTTTATGCAATTTCGGAGGTATGAAAAAT